TAGCTGACCTTCTTTATTTGCTTCGTTCAAATAGTTTTTTTCTATAGAAACATTTTTATATTTTTCATTCCAGAGAAGCAAGTGATAAGGTAGCTGGAAGAGTCGAATTCCGGAAACAATTCTTTCTCGTTCTTCTTGTTTTTAATATCTTATTTCAATTGTCACGACTATAATTTTTATCTTATTGCATCTTACTTTTGCAGCAACTTATTTGTTTGTTAATAAATTTTGATGAAAGTGGTCGGCATTAAAGAACTTGTCTAAAGCCGGTATGTAATCTTGAGGCGTGTCTTGTCACAAGCAATCATGGTTTGAGCTAATTTAGACAATGTTTAATAAACTCCAATAAACGTGATGCCCACAATCACGATTGATAACAAAACTGCCGTCAAAGCGCATATACAGTCAACCCTCCTATAACGCGGTACTCTCAGAACGCGGTTTCCATATAACGCGGAGCTAAAATTGCGACACCCCTCCTATAACGCGGTACTCATACAGCGCGGTTTTCGTTCAACAGCATCCATAAGTTCCTTCCGCGCAGCCTATGAATGACTCTAGTAACTAGATATTGTAAGAGATTTTAATATAAGTTTTATTTTCGACGCAAACGCACTGCACAATATGTTTATATAAACATGCCAGCTTATCTTGATTGTATTAGAACCGTGTCATCGGCTTGCTCGAAATTAAACCATCAACGCTTAATTCGTGTTGGAAACCTCTTTTACCTCAAATGGTTCAAGCAATACAAGATGATTTTACAATTTCACTCCCAGTTACAGAAATAGTAAACATTGCTTCTCGTTTAAGCGATGAAGAATTTGCAGTAAACCATCAGTATGTAAGAGAACTAGTTCTCGGGGAAGAAACTTTAGATGAGGAAGAACTGATGGCATTAATTGATGCATCCACCTAAAATGCATTGGTAAACGAAAATAAGGAAAACGAATGGGTGTCAAATCTCGATTTACAAGATGTGAAAAAAGGGCTAAATTTGGCTAAAGAATTAGAACTTCGTTTCATTCAAACTGATCGTTCAACGGTGCGCAGTGCAAATTTTAAAAGAGAGTTAAGAAATTGCTTAGATCCCTATAGAGATGTTTTAGTGGAGTTAGAAAAGAAAGCTACAATCGAAAACCAATGTGAAGATCAACTAAGTGATGAAGACATTTTGCCCATTAAAAGAAGACGAGTTAGGCGACTCATATCTGACAGAGAGGATGAGTGTTGAAAGATTACATAATTTTACAAATGTCTTAATTGTTTTTGTTGAAAACCAGTCTTTTAGTTTAGTTCTTGTTTCATTTTTTTTATAAAGTGCGCTTTGACAGCAGTTTTGTTATCACTTCGCTGATAAAAAAAAGTGTCAGCAGCTGTGATGATTAAATATGAAACAGAATGTGATGATCATCATTATAATACTGACTGTAATGGTAAATTCAAAAATGAAACCGCCGAGTTTCGAGGAATATTGTAAAAGATCGAATACGTCGATCGCCTGCACGTCAAAGGCATGCACGATAATACCACCAAATCTGGGCATCAAAAGGCCGAAATTCAGATTGCTGAATCAGTTGGAAACGGCCACGGTATTGGACATACATAACGTCTACCGGAGCGAACTTGCATTTGGATACCATCTGAAGTCATACTACATCCCATCTATTGCGAATATGAACGTGCTTAGCTATGATAAGGAGGCCGAGTTTCTGGCCATATGCTCGTTATACAACACAGAGTCGAAAGAGCCACTGAACGGCGTGCAGGAAGGTAGAGCAGATATGTATGGAAAGAACGTGTTCACTTCTAAAATCAATTCGCTGGATCATCATTGGCGAAGCAGATTATTGAGGAAGGCCACGGGGTTCTGGTTTCAACAAGTCAAATACTTGAATGAGAAACAGGTGCAGGTGGCGATCGATCATTACGAGAAGGACAAGATCGTTATGCAGGAAAACAAGAAAGCGAATGTCGAGTGTTTTACCCAGCTGTCATGGGCTGACACGAAGTTCGTGGGTTGCGCTATTACGTACACAGGAATGGGTCCCACGTGGGCCGCGGTTCTGGTATGCGTGTATTACCCTTCGGGTAACGTCGAAGGTGGTAGTATGTTACGAGCCGGTTCGCCGGGACGCGGTTGTAAGAAGAAAAATTCCATCTTCAAGAGCCTCTGTGGATACATCAGATTCTCCAAACATGATAAATTCGTGTCTCCGTTGCAGGAAATGTTTCCTCGAGCCAAGGACAAATGTCGTAGACATCTGATGGATAATTCTATTTTATACTTACTGTTGACTGTCATCTATTTGTCAATGAAATAAAGTGGAAATACGTTGAAAATTGGAATGTTCAAACGAAGATGTAATTCTTGATTGTAAAGAAGAAGTGAAAGGCAAAGATATTTTGTACTTATTTACTAATACAATAAAGTACATTTATATTATTTTAGTAAAATTCTACTGATGTCAATAATATATATTTAACAACCTATTCTTTTTCAAGATAAATTGATAATTGAAAATCGATTTCTTTAGACGAGCTTTTTCCGAACTATGACCCACTGGTAGGCAGGAAAAATGGTGATAATTTGAGGGATATATTACGTGTAAAAAACAACATCTTAATAATACTTCCAATTTTTTTTAAATTTTCATCAGTAATTCAAGAAAACGTAAAGGCATTTACAAATCACCATATTCCGTTTAAACGACATTACGTAATAAATTACGATATAGTAACATAAAAAAATGTTTATAATTTTGAAGTTATTAGTGCAAAAACAATAAAAAAAAATCTTAATTTTGAGAATACCTCTGTACATTTTTTTTTTCATTTATTACGTGTAGAAAAATATAAAAAAAAATATCAAGTCTTCTTTGATAAACATATAAAAACTAAGAAGAGAGTCCAATTTGCCAATATCTTTAAAATTTTCGTAAGAAACAATGACAATATTCCGTCAAAATGAATAAATTAAGTAAATCTTTTATTTTGTTAGTTTTCATTGTCCTTCAACCCCTAGCATTTATCCTTAATCTCGAATAACACTATGATATTAAAATGTTACTTGGACAAATTTTTATGTATAATGAGACTCTTTTTTTTCGGACAGAAGGATTATTCAATTATATTTAAATTAAACTGATATTTTTCAGCGGATTTATTATGTAATGTGAAAGTTTTCCTATTTAGGAATTATATTCTTTGACAGTGATTTTGCAGCAGTATGCTGCAAAGCGATTCAAAAAGTGAGAGGTGTCGTGTGGAGTCCTAGTGGAGTTTTTAAGGAATGCTAGAGGTGAAGTTGGAGTTTTTATGATAATAAACACTTTATTATTCTCTATACGATTATTAATAACTTCTATGTCTAGATTACAGTTTCTAGATTTGTTACTAGGGTATTATGAGTCTAACTAGGACTCGGGAGGACTCTCCACTAAGACTAAAACTATCTTGGACTAGCGACTAACTAGGACTATGACTTAACACTGACTCTTTAGGACTCTCCCTGTATTTTATAATTATCCTCTTAAATAGTAGTGAATTGGCATAGTGGGAGTACAATATTTGGTTAGGGAAGATAGTGTATAACTTTCCCTAATAATTAATTGATTAGGCAAATGTACATATTAGAGGTCATTATTGATTGGACCTTTGAGTTTGTGCACAACATGGTGATTAACAATATTGATTAAGAATTATCATCGTTACACAATGATTAGTTATGGGATCTTCCTAAGTGGTATTTGTTCTAAGTCTTAATGACTTACAATAACGGTTATACATAACAGAGGATTGGAGATGATATTAAATGTGCCTTGGAAATTTGTAATTACAGAAGAAGTTCAAAGCATTAGAAGTGTATATTGTCGTGTCCCGACATGGAATATCTCTGGACACTGTGGAATAATTTGTAGTATTGTCGATGTGGAGTCCTAGTGGGTTTTATGGAAGTCTAGATTAAAGTTAGTATAATATTAGTATTTATTTAACACTTAGATGCTGGTGATTGTTAGTCTAGCTTCCAGTTGCTACAAGCAAAGGTTGCTGGTCAAGAGTAGAGTCAAACTAGAACTAACTTAAATTAACATAAGTGTCGTCTTATACGTAAGAAGACATCTTGAATACAGAATAATATTCTAAGGGTAGTGGCTAATTTGCCATGTGGGATGTACGTCAGAGGCGCCGGCGGGGATTTGTTTATGTCTCCCGCTGTCGATAAGGTCTAAAGGGTGATAAATCTTACAATTGTTTGGGGAGGTTTATTTTCGACGGCATAGTTTTTATAGTTAGCTGCCCGATTTTCACATATTGCCCCTTTCAAAAGGTTGACACACGACCCATGTGTAAAAAAACTAACAAAATATGAGAAACAGAGCGTTTCTCCAACACGGTTTTATTATTCTAAGCGGATGTTTCAAGTGCCGATAGACTTGTTTATATCAATAATTACTAATAAAGTGGTTGACCACAACAATATATCAAAATTAATAAAACAAACATAATTATTTAAGTCTGCCACGGAAGTTTGACTAAGATCATAAGTGTGCCGCGACAATAAAGATTGAAGAACACTGATCTAGTTTTTTTTTTCAATTCAGTAATTTTCGTCCTCCTGTAAAAGAAATACATTATCATGTATGCTCCATGCAATAAGATTAATTTGTTTTGTAACATAGTTAGGATCATATTTATCTGTGATAAATATGATAGGCAAAAGCGTATTTTAGGTCAAAGCTTTTGCGTATCAAATATAAAAAAATAGTCATTAACAAATAAGTAAATTTGTTAACGAATTTGCAACAAAAGAAGATAAAAAAATATATAACAAACAATCGTGAATCAACAATTTTTTACATAATAACATATATATTGGATGGCAAGGCAAATAGAGCGAAATGCACTGGCAAGGCCGTTTAACGCACGTAATTACATAAATTATATATGAATGTACGTTTAGGAAAGCTTTTAGTAATAAAGCTTTAATAAAGAACAATTCAACAGTATTAAAGGTGCGCCCATCGACAGGAAATATCATTGCTTGAAATTGTTTCTTTCAGGTACAAATATATCAAGTGAATTATAGATAAACTCAAGTTTTAAACGCTCATGTCCAGCTACTTCATAGCTACAGTTATGCAACTTTCTTAACCATCGTAATTAGTCGGTAGACGGATTTGCATAAACATGGATTATTCATAAACAGAAGCGGGAATCTTGTCACCGTTTGGATTCGAATTTTCCCAAACGGAATTAATAACGGTTTTTCATTCGAAATCCAAGTGGAATCAGCTGTTTCTGACAGCGCTGTCAATAGGACGTCAAAATACAGTGTTTTCCTTGTGTGTTGTGCACGATGTTTCGTTGTTCTTCGACTTAGTAAAACGAATTCCGACCAATTAAGAAGTAGTTTTTTTGTGCTCGAGCAAAACGCAGGTAAACGTTCGTCGTCGTCGTCGTTTTTCTTTGTCCACATCCGACCACAAAATCAACATGCAAGGGGATTTTCTCTGAATTATCATCATCTCTTCCTGTTTGCAGGGGGAATAACCAAATGGTGTTTTGTTGTTAACTTAGTTGAAGCTTCACATTGCTCTTTGAGATGTCCGGCAGAGTGAACATGAGACCTGTGAATAAAAATACATTGTTGAAGGTGGTGATCTTGGGGGATGGAGGTGTTGGCAAAAGTTGCCTGATGAATAGGTTTGTGTCGAATCAGTTTGATGAGCATTCATTCCACACCATTGGAGTGGAATTCCTCAATAAGGATATTGAAATCGATGGTGAAATCTACACTTTACAGGTGATTATAATGGTTTAATTGAATATACATATGATTTGCATAAATAGCTTCTTTATACAGTGGAACCTCGCTTAACGACAAAAATAAAATCGAAGATGGTTAATTGAAGATTCAAAGTCTAAAGATAAAATACACGTAATATGTTTGAACGTAAGTTTGGAAATTGAGCACAATCCGGGACTTTGTTAGTCATTGTTATTACAATTTGCTCGTTAAGCGAAGTTCCACTGTACTCGTTTTACGACGACAGATTTGTTTTCTATTGTAAATACGATTGGTTGGAATTCTAGAAGTTATTACATACAATAAATTAATTTCTTTATATTTTTTATGTATATTTTCAAATTAGATTTGGGACACGGCGGGACAGGAGAGATTCAAAACATTGAGGACACCATTCTACAGAGGCAGTGATATTTGCTTACTGACTTATGCAGTGGATGATAAAATCAGCTTTAGGAATCTGACCATGTGGAGGAATGAGTTCATCTACTATGCAGATGTAAAAGAGAATATACATTTTCCATTCATTGTAGTTGGAAATAAAGTAAGTGATTTCAACAATAATAATTATTAAGTTTTAATGATCCATCAATTTTTCAAGAATATCTTTATTTAATCATCTGTAGAATATATAGAAACTCTTGTTTTTCTTATTTTTTTAACTTGGTTCATATTATGATGAAAATCACTTTTTTTATTATAAATTCTTATTTTATGATTTTTTTAGAGAAAATTAAAATTATATTAATTTCCAATTTGATGTACATTACTACTTTTTAAAATTATAATAGTAATTTTATGAATGAATCTAATATTGTTGTGTTTATTTAGTCCGATGTTGGTGTGAAAGACCGGGAGGTATCACAATTGGAGATGGAGACTTGGTGCAATGAAGTTGCATCGAAACTTCGGCGAAGAACGCGAGCAACGTGCAGGAAGCGTTCAAGCTGGCCGTGCAACACTGGATGAGGGCGGAGTCGCGGGCAGATAGAAACGAGTCGCCCTACAACGACACGGTTGACCTAACGAAGAAGTACGGAGACAACCGAAGCTCGTGCTGTATCGGCTCATCCGACGAGTGAAATCCGGGCCGTCTTTTCAAACAGTAATCGGGTATTTTCGTTCTATCAAAACACAATCAAAACAGACAGAAGACAAAAGAGTCACTAGTTTAGGTTATAACTAATATCCTTCCCACAGTATTAATTTACTACGATACATTTCAAGGCTGCCCTTCGACCTTTCAACCAATTGACGAACACTTTCATTAAATTGTTATCCGAAGCCAGCGTCTCGACGATCAAGGCAGCCGTTACACTGCTTTTAAGTGTAAATAAAAAAAAGAAGAAAAAAAGCAACTAATTTAAAGCACAAAATCTTAATGTATAGTTTCTTTCTAACTTCTATTGATTGATATTTGGAAACCAAAGAAATTTAAATTCCGCAGCATCTTCGCAGGATGCGCAATCAGCCTTCAGTGTCTAAATATTACGAGTGGCAATTGATTCCATTTTTGTTTGTATTCGTAGCTTCAACAAATGACAATATATATTTTTATATTTTAGGAGAAAAAAAAACGTAAATAACGAAATATAACAACAATTGACAATTGTTTGTACACCAAATGAATTAAACAAAAAAAATCATATTAATAATATCATTAGCAATAAGATTAATCATTAATTTATTTTTATCAAATATTTAATTTTGAGAAAAATGTGATTTTTTTACTGTCCACACATTTTTACACTGCGCTTTGCTAACTGTGAAGTTTAATCAAAATTATTGTAATAAATGCATTGTTCTT